ATGCCTTCCTTCTGGGATCACATTCCATTTACACTATATGTGTGTATATATACACGCACACACATATTTATATCTATATATCTTGTATATACGTAGTTATTTGCACATTGTCTCTTCCTTTTGGGTAAGGTCCATTCCTTTTGCCCCTGAGCCCCAAATACTTAATAATATTTTATTTTTTTTAATTTCATGTAAAGATAGTTTTCAATGTTGATTTTTGTAAGGTTTTGAGTTTCAAATTTTTCTCCTTCCCTCCCATTCCTCCCCTGTCCCCAAGATAGCAAGCAATCTGATATAGGTTATACATGTACAGTCATGTTAAACATATTTCCACATTAGTCTTGTTGTGAAAAAAGAATCAGAACAAAAAGGAATAAGCACAAGAAAGAAAAAATAAAAATAGTGAAAATAGTGTGCTTTAATCTGCATTCAGACTCCATAGTTCTTTCCATGGATGTGGATTTTCCATCACAAGTCTTTTGGAATTGTCTTGGATCATTGTATTGCTGAGAAGAGCTAAGTCTATCATAGTTGATCATTGCACAGTGTTGCTATTACTGTGTGTAATGTTCTCCTGGTTCTGCTCACTTCACTCAGCATTAGTTCATGTAAATCCTTCCAGTTTTTTCTGAAATCCTCCTGGTCATCATTTCTTATAGTGCAATAGCATTCCATTACATTCATATACCACAACTTGTTCAGCCATTCTCCAATTGATGGGCATCTCCTCAATTTTCAATTCTTTGCCACCATGAAAAGAACTGCTATAAATATTTTTGTATGTGTGGGTCCTTTTCCCATTTTTATGATCTCTTTGGGATACAGACCTAGTAGTGGTATTCCCAGCCCCACTTTTAAAAATGATCGCTGGCACTTAAAACAATTCCTGGCACATAATAAGTACTTAATAAATTCTATTGATAAACTGACTGACAAAATGGAGCAGTAATGGTTAGAAAACTATTGTTCTGGAGAGAAAGATCTTGTGGTTTTAAAAATAAAGATATGGTCTGTAAGGTTTACATGAGTCAGAAGTGTGATGTGGTGGTCAAAGAAGGCTACATGCTCTTGGGCCACATTAAGAGATAAATAGCTCTCAGAAATCAGGTGGTGATAGTGCCATTGTACTCTCATCTGGTCAGCCCTCATCTGGAGTGTTGTTTTCAGTTCTGGGGACACTAATTGAGAACTGAAGAGATCAGATGGATAGCATTCAGAGGAATGCAATCAGAGTGGTGAAGATTCTTTACTCCATGTCATGTGGGGATCAGTTGAAGGAAGTGGAATGTTTATCCTGGAAAAGAGAAGCGTCAGGAGGAACATGAGAGCTGATGTAGAATATTTTAAGAGCTGTCTTGTGGAAGAGGTATTAGACTTGTTCTGACTTATCCTCAAGGAATCAGGAGTAATTGGTGGACATTGCTTAGTGATCAACTTAAGCTTGACGTCTAGAAAAACTGCTTAACAAATAGAGCAGTCTCAAGGTGGACTGAACTGCTTTTAGAGGTGATGAGTTCCTCCTCCTCCTCGGAGGTCTTCAAGCAGAGACTGGGCAATTTACTGTTTGTTGTGTTACAATGGATATTATTTTACTGGTCTAATTAGACTTGATGGTTGCTGAAATCTCAACTCTCAAATTCTGTGATTCTCTGTAGAGATGGCCCAAACACTATGTCAGAGGAATATTAACCCTAGAAGATCACACAAAGTGGAAAGACTCAGATTAAAGCTGAGGCTGACTGTATATTGTCTGAGCAGCAGCCTGGCCAAGACCAAAGAGATTCATCAGCAGTTTGACCACTGGGTCATGATGTTTTTGGCAATCAGAACTCTCAAAAACTATCTACTTAGTTATAGAGGACCTGCAGTCTGCACAATTAAAGGAAGAATCACACCAATGTAAATTATAAGTCATTAGATTATTGAAATATGTTATAACTTCACCTAGAATAATTTTATTTTGAGGAGGGAGTCTGGGCTTCTGCTTTAATCAGTGTAGGAAATCATTTGTTGAGAAAACTCTCTCTGTCCATGAAGATAGACCAATGTTCTACAGCTCATAGTTTTAAAAGTGTTACCTGGATACACTGAGCAGTTGTGTGTCTTGTTCAGATCTTCGCAACTAGTATATGTCAGATGTAGGACTTGGGATGATAAGATTATAAATTTGGAGGTGGCAGGGACCTCAGTCCATCAAGTCAAGCCCCTTTATTTTGCAGACTTAACTGAAGGCAAGAGAGTGTAAATGACTCAGGGTCACACAGCTGGTGTCTAAAGGATTCACACCCAGGTCTTCCTGACTTCGTGTCTAGAACTCAGAATGTGCTAAATATGAGGCTAGCTCTCTATATACTATGTCACATTATACTTTTTAAGCCTTGATATTGTTGTTAAATGCTAAATTCCATTTCCTTTTCATTTAACTTTAGAGAGAATATTGCTATTATTTAATCTGTTCGTCTATTATTAATTATTCCTCATGAATTTCTTGATTTCTTATTATCAGATGCATCTGTTATATAATTTGATAATTCTTATCATGTTACTCATATACATTTTCCCCGATCCTAATTTAAGCTTCATATATATTTCATATGGTTTCTTGTCAAATGTTGGGATGGATTATATGTATATACTCTTAAAATTGCTCTCCAGACTAAGTTTTTTTATGTTTTAAAACTAGAACCTATATACTTAATCACTTATGTTTTATCACAGAAATGTGTTTTATCTACTTCAATTTCATACTTTCTTTCATTAATGACTTCTTGTATTTGTCAAATCATGTATCTGCTTTCCCCAGGTGGCATCATGCACTTAAAAGATTCTGAGTATCTCTCCATCATTTTTACACGCTTAAAATTGCAACTTATTATGACATTTCTGGCCCATGTAAATGATGTTGATACTTTCTCTTTATAAGCATTTGCTTCTAGATTGGATGAGGACTGACCTGTGATTTAATTCCATTGGGGAATTTCCAGATGGGGAACTCACTCTATCAATGCAGATTAGTGTCTTCTCTGTAACCTAGACTCAATTTTTTAAAACTTACTTAATTAAATATTTCTCAATTAGATAATAAAATTTTTAACTTTCATTTCAAAAAATTTTGAGGTCCAAATTCTCCCCTTCCCTCTGTCCCTCTCCCTTCCTTGAGAAGGAAAGAAATTTGCTATTGATTATACATGAGAAGTGATGCAAAACATATTTCTATGCCATCTAGCAACCTAGAATCTTTAAGAGTTGCCCAGAGCACTGACTGGGTAGGCAGTTTGCTCAGCGTCATATAACCAGTGTGTGTCAGAGGTCTTGATTTCACATCTATTTTTCTAGCTACTACACTGACCTATCTCTCCCTCTCCTTGTTTCTAGCTATAATTTCAATTTGAAAGAGAAAAGTCACTTTCCTGCTTCTATTCTTGCTGTTCTTCCTTATTGAAAATAAGGCATAAATACATCATTAAACATGAAAAGTATTTTGGGGTTGATTATGCTCAAATTGCCCATATGGCTTATTTACTTTATTTCCATGTAATTAGAATTAGATAAAAATACAACTCTTCTCAAACATATTTAATGTTAGTGATGTAAAAAACAGATCTGACTGTCATTCTGCTACTCAAAAGTATTTAATGACTGTGTATTGCCTCTAAAATAAAATGCAAAATCTCTGTCCTGGCATTCAAAGCCTTCCACTTCATGGCTCTCACCTGCTTTTCCAGTATTATTTCATATTATTCTCTTCTTTTTGAATTCTCCATTCTTGACAGACTTAACTTCAAAGGTTATCTATACTCCAAGGGTTCTTAGAGTGACAGGTGAAGTGTCAATGTTCAAGATTCTAGAGAGTGTAGTGGCCCGGCACATCTTCCTCTAAATTACTAGAAAGGTTGTAGTTGATAATTCTTTGCCCGAGCTAGTGGTCTGAACTAGGAAGATGTGTGTTAAAGTCCTGCTTCTGACTTGTACTGGCTGTGTAAACCTGAGCAACTTACTTAACCTGATCTAGGAAAGTCTCTAGGTGCTGATTTGGATTGATAGAAGGAGTTTCCTCATCTAAAAGTTCTCTAAATCAATGGAATTATAGACCATGTATGCCCAGTAGGGTGGGTAGGATATTATAGGCACCTGGCCCCCAGTCATTAGGTAGGGGGCAGTGGTCTTGAGTGGAGTGGCAATTCTTGAGTCCATTCCAAGGGGATGGTTATGAGGAGTATCAAAATTTATTCAAAACGTGAAAGGTAGAAGGGGAGGCATTAGCAGGAAGTTTGTGAGGAAGAGTTCCTTATGGCAATGCTCTGATAGGCCTGACAGTAACAACAACAATAAGCAACTGGTTACTCAGATGCTTTGCTTTTCCTTTAAATATATAGGAATATTCAACAAAGAATGATTAAATACTTAATATGGGCAAAGTACTCTTCTGAGCTTTGGGTAAATAAAGCAAAAAAATAATTCATTATAACATTGAATCCACACTGTGGGGCCCAAGGAGCTGGGAATACCAGGCTCTGGTTTCATACTCAGATACTAGTTTTCATTACTGAAAGAGCTTGGTCTCTAAGGAAAGAGATCAAGTTATTTTTTGTGTTCTCCTGCTCTTTGCCATCTGACCCTAAAGCCCTATGGAAAATCACTTCGACCTTGGGCTTGAATCTTATCTAGAGTCTTCTCCAAAAAAGTATTAGAAAATTACTCAAGATATAACATAGAGAAGGTATAAGGTAGTTATTTATTTCCTTGGCACAAAAGAAATGCTTAAAACAAAAGATTTATACTAGATTATATAGGTTCCATCATAGTGATCACTAAGTAAAAAATTTCTTTATTCTGGGCAACTTTTTATTCAGGATATTTTTAAATGATACTCCCAAGTGTACTTCATCTGATTCATTAAATCTTTTCAAAATTATTTCAGCTACTATGGAAAACTTAGAATTTTATTCTTAAGTTTCACAGTGATATTTCAACTTATGACTCATTAATGTTTTCCTTAGCTCCAGGCAAAGTGGTAAATCTCACTGTGGAGACCTTCAATTATTCAGCAGTCAATTTAATTTGGTATTTGCCTCGGCAACCAAATGGTAAGATTACCAGCTTCAAGATTAGTGTCAAGCATGCAAGAAGTGGACTCATAGTGAAAGATGTCTCAATTAAAGTTGAGGATCTTCTGTCAGGGAAGTTACCAGAGTGTAATGTAAGTATCGTAAAATGCCTTCCCTATTTTAAACATTTTCAGAAAATTGTTTCATTAAATTTGATGTGTTACCCTATTGACAGCTATATGATTCCCTATTTTTTTTTGGTTTATGAGGACCTCTTTTTCTAATGTCAAAAAGTTTCATGCACCCCACCTTTTCTCATATGATAGCAGTCATACTATTAGGCAAGGACCCCCTTTTCTTCATTAACAAAAAAGCTTTTTTTATTTCTTACAAGATAGCAGTCATACTATTAAAATCTGTTGATTGAGAATATTCATGATGATATGTATATTATGATTTACATCATGATGACATGATGAATATACACAAAGACAAAAAAAACAATAAATTTGGTAATACTTTTAAATGAATTTTTATTTTATTAATTATAATATTGAAATGCCAATGAAATAAGTAAAAATAGCAAAAGTATAACCCAAAAAGAGTTAGCGCTGTACTGTAGGAATACCTGAATTCCAATTCTTCCTGTGTGACTCTGGCCAAGTAACAATCTTTTCGTGCCTAAGATAAGTCTTTAAGTTGAAGAGGAGTTAACTGTCTCTATTGGTAGAGCTAGATTGAGGAGGATTTCCTTCCACCAATGAAATCACAAATTTTGCAAAAAAAAAGTCATCGTACATTAGAAGAATAATAATGTGTGTGTGAAAGCCTTCAGAAGGTCAGCCTTCAGAAGATATATCTACTAAATGAAAGTGAAAATGACAATGTTTTGATTCTTGGACCCATTGGAATAATTCTGTAGCTTCCTCATGGACCAAAGGTTACAAACCATTGTCTTACCTGTTGGTTTGTGTCTACAGTGGAAATGACTATGTGACGTAAAATATGACCATCAGCCAATCGCTATGAAATTATAAACTACATGCTATGTTACAGGCACTATGCTAGGTGCTGGGGATCTGATAAATATACATTCATATACGTTTATATGTTTATGTGTACGTATGTATATATGTAAATGTGTATACACATGTATATATGTATATATATGTGTATGTACATACATATATCTATGTGTATACATTTGTGGGTATGTATATACACACACGGATGTAACTTGGGATGCCAAGCTTGAGGCATTTTGCATGATGCTGCCTATCCAAGAAACTTCTGATTGGTGTATAGAAAACTGACCAGATGAAGTTAAAGTTATATCAATTAAACAATCAGCCAACATTTATTAAATGCCTACCATGTGCTTTCCTTCTGAAATTACTTTCCATTTACACTGTCTATATCATAGGTATACCTAGTTATTTGCATATTGTTTCCCCAATTACAATGTAAGCTTTTTGAATATAGGGACTGTGTTTTTACCTCCCTTTCTTTGTATCACCACACTGTCTCTCACATTACAGGTGTTATTTTTCATTTTACACATCAGGAAACTAACGTTCAGAAAGGTTAGATGACTTAAACCATGATCAGACAGCTTTTAAGGATTTGAAGGTAACTCTGACCTATATGCAAGGCTGCTAGATGGTTTAGTAGGTAGAATGTTGGATTGGGGATCCAGAAATCCTGTGATCAAATCCTGTCTCAGACATTTAGTAGATGTCTGATCCTATATGTTATTTAATTTCTCTCAGCCTCAGTTTCCTGATCTGTAAAATTAGGATAATAATAGGTCTTCCTGTGTCCAGTGCTTTACCTACTTGCTGTGCCACCTAGGCATGACCTTGTAAACGGTATAGCTTCTCAAGCCTTATTTCAATATAAAAATATTAGCTATTATTATATCTCCAGATCCCAAGTCACGTGTTCTTTTCACTACAATACATTTTCCACAGTCTACACTCCAGCCCTTAGCACAATGCCTGCAGTGCATACTAAGTGCTTAATACAAACCTGTAGACTAGCTGACTGACTCTTGAAGAGCATCAAATGAATAACTATACTACTACATTTTGTTGTCCATTTATATTGAATCATTTTGTTCAATAGGAAAACAGTGAATCTTTTTTGTGGAGTACAACCAGACCTTCACCAGCTTCTGGTAGAGCCACATCTCCCCCCCGGGTCACATATGTACCCAATGCCCTGGAAATGAGTCGAAAAAGTTCCGTGTGGAATGAGCCTATCAGTTTTGTCGTAACCCACCTGAGGCCATATACCACATATCTGTTTGAGGTCTCTGCTGTTACTACGGAAGCAGGTTACATTGACAGTACGATCGTCAGAACGCCAGAATCAGGTGTGTATCCTTGAATGGGAGTGATGGGGGGGGGGGGAGGGGAGAAAGAAGGTAGGGTAAGAAGGACTTAAACTACCAAACAATGGTAATACCTATATAGTATTTTCAAGTGAATAAAAATGGTTTCTACACTTTGAGTAGGGTTTCCTTTATTGATTCTTTTTATTTTTGAGGTCTCTCTTCAAAACAAAACAAAAAATCTTTAATAACACCTCATGATGCAACTTCCAATTCTAAGAATCTTTTCCAGTACTAGTGAGGACATAGGAAATACAGAGAATATTGAAAAAAGTAAAGGAGAAAGAAAGGAAAAAGAAAAAGAGAGAAAAATTGAGAGCAGATTTCTTTGGTCTAATTCTTATAATCCTAACAACTCACCATTTGTAGACCTTGCCATTGCTTTTTTTAATTATCTAAATCAGAGAGTCTTAACCTAGGTTCTGTGAACTTTTTCCAAAATATATTTTGATAACTGAGTTTCAACACGGTTGCTTTTGTAATATTATGTATTATAGTTTATGCATTTAAACTATTTATTGTTTATTCAATGCATTTTATGCATTTATTCTGAGAAGGGATCCATAGGTTTCTTCACATTGCCAGATACACAAAAGATGTAGATCCCTGGTCTAAATCATCTTTTTCTATAAAAATAAAAAAATTAAATTATGTGACCATTAGGTCTTTCATTTATTTTGCATTTCCCCTATGATTTAAAGAGTATAAGGAATTCCCAAAGAGAAACTCCTTCTTTGAAGGAAGTTTGTCAACTTCTCTGAAATTTATACTCTTAGAATGTTTTCTGGACTACTGAGAGTGTACATGACTTCCCTAGGATCACATAGTCAATATGCTTCAGAAGCAAGATTTGAACCCAGAGTTCTTTAAAGCAGAGACTATGCCATACTGTCTTTCATGGATGGTCCCTTATAACACAAAATCCTGCAACCTTAGCCTCCGTTATTAGATTTGCTGTTCTCAAGGCCAGCACTACTCTTGACAACACCAGCAGTTATAAAGTATTATGGATTTCAATATAAATTTAAATGCTACCCATTCATTTCTTGATGTAAAAATTATTTTGGTTAAGATTTACATGTCTAGAAGATGGCTGAGTGAGAAGTAAGTCACTCTCACCTTCTCTTACTGACTTCTGAAAGGCGAGAAAATATTGCCCCAGGAAAAACCCTGGAACAGCTGAACTAGAAGAAAGATGGGGTATAGCAGTCTTGTAGCCCAGGAAGCTTGGGGGATTAACAGGAAAGGCCCCTCTTGCTCTGAGGGAGGAGGAGCAGTACAGAACAGGAGGCATCCCAGCAAACTAGTGGAAAACCCCATCTCAGCATACCAGGGTGGCAGAACAGGCAAGCACCAACACCAGGACCCCTGAGTGCCTCAGTATAGGCAGGGGAACCAATGGAAACTGGACTCAGAAAACTACCACGTTGCCATGGTGTTCTCTGGCAGCCAAGTTTTCTGGTGCCTCAGCAAAATTCTAGGAAGCACAACTCCAAGAGGGAAAGCTCCTGGTGGAGAAACATCCTGCAGCAGTGAAACATCCCTCTGCAAGGCCCAGGTGAGCAGGAGCCAAAGAAAGGACTGCAAGGTCCAGGTGAGCAGGAGCCACAGAAAGGATTGAAAGGCCTGTGTGAACAGGCATCCTGCAGGGTCTAGACTTCCCACCTCTACCCCTAGAGCTCCAGTGTTGCTGATCCCAGTCAAACACCAGGTAAGCTGACAGAAGTCTACAGCCTCCGACTACCAGCATCTGAGGCTCCAGCACACAAAGCTAGTGACCAAGCCCCAGGGCTCCCAGCACAAGAAGCTTGGGTCAGTGCCCCCTGCTTCCCAGCAGGAGAGCTCAATTTTTTTTTTAAATGTTGTGTTTTGTTTCCTCTTTCTGGTGGTTCCTCCTATTGGTTCTAACTCTTAGCTACAATATCACTAATGTGAAATATGTTTAATAGGAATATATACGTATAGCCTATACCAGATTGTGCAACATCTTGTGGAGAGAGGTGGGGAGGGAGGGGGAGAAAAATTTAAAACTCAAAAGCTTATGGAAGTAATTGTTGACAATTCAAAATAAATTAATTAAAAATTAAAAAATAAAGGTCAGGAAATAAGAAAACACCATGAGCGAAAAGAAATGTACAATGACCATAGATTCTTATTATGGGGACAGGGAAGATCAAGGCAGAAATTCAGAAGAGGACAACATTGTCAAAACACCCATATCCAAAACCTCGAAAGGGAATAAGAACTAGAATGAAGCCCAAAAAGCATTGTTGGAAGAGCTCAAGAAGGATTTTAAAAGTCAAATAAGAGAGGTAGAAGAAAAATTGGGAAAAGAAATGAGAGGTATGCAAAAGAGAGTCAGTAGCTTGGAAGAGAAAGGACAAAAAATAACTGTAGGAAACAAGTCCTGAAAAAATACAATTGGCCAAATGGAAAAAAAGTGCATTGAAGAAAACAAGTCGCTAAAAAATATAATTGGCCAACTGGAAAAAAAGTACATTGAAGAAAACTACTGCTTAAAAAGCGTAATTGGCCAAATGGGAAAAGGAGTCATAAAAACTCACTGAGGAGTACTCCTTAAAAAGTAAAATGGGCCAAATGGAAAAAGAGGTACAAAATCTAATAGAAGAAAACAATTCTTTAAAAATCAGAGTTGCGCAAGTGGAAGCTAATGATTCTATGAGAGAGTGAAAATCAGTCAAATAGAAACAAAAGAATGAAAAAATACACAAAAATGTAAAATACCTCATTGGTAAAATAGCTGACTTGGAAAATAGATCCAGGAGAAACAATTTAAAAATTATTGGTCTACCTGAAAACCACGATGACAAAAAAAGAGCCTAGACAGCATCTTTCAGGAAATCATCACGGAAAACTGCCCAGAAGTCCTAGAGCTAGAGGGTAAAAGAGTCATAGAAAGAATCCACCAATCACCTCCTGAAAGAGATTCCAAATTGAAAATTCCAAGGAATATAGTAGCCAAATTCCAAAATTACCAGGTCAAAGAGTAAGTACTACAAGCAGTCATAAAGAAACAATTTAATTATCATGGAACCATAGTCAAAATTACACAGCTTTTACTTTAAAAGATTGTAGGGTGTGGAATACGATATTCTGTAAGGCAAAGGAGCTTGGATTTCAACCAAGGATCAACTACCCAGTGAAAATAAAAAAAATTTTAAAAAATTTACATGTCTATGCAGGTGGATACACTTCAGATTTACATACTTTGTAACCGAAGGAACAGAGTTACAAACCGAAAGTTATTATAATCCCTGTGTCCTAGGTACAAAACATTAGTCATTTTAACTCTGATTAATAGTATTAGAGATCAAAAGGAAAATAATTGATGAAGTAATTTCACTGTAATCCCTAAAAATGTTTCAAGTAACAAATCATCATTTTTTTCTCCTGTGGTAATTAGTTATTCACATTTGACATTTTGCTTTATGTAGCATTATCTTTTGGATTTCTGGTTGTGATTCATCTTTGAATTATATTATCTCACCTTCATCTTTCTTACTCATCAAAGATAGAAATAATTTCATTAGTGTCAGATAAAAAGGAGAGTTGTTACTCTGGAAATGAATCTTATTTATTCAGATCAATTTAACTCCTTTTCTTAATTAAAACACTTTTTAACATATAAAATATTTGGCAAGAAGCATATATGATGTAAGATATAAATTAGATTGCTTTAGATACTACAGTCTTTTGCCTAAACATGTCTTTAATTTTGAAATGTCAAATATTAATATGAGATAAAAGCAAAACTGTCAGTGGTTACCAGAGGCTCCACCCACATCTCTGATACAGATGTATTATATCCATAAAAAAGGAAGGCATCATCAGTTTTAAACTCCTATTCAAGCCATTGCCTGCTTTTCAGAGACAGCTGAGTGTCATTTGGTTGAAAAGTATCTAAAATTTGCTTCAGAAATAAAAATCTCAGGAAAATTGAATTATAAAATAATTCACAGGTAAATAAAATGTACACTATGAAGACACATGCCACACCAAAAAAAGCCAGTAATTACCACAAATAGCAAATTACTCTGCTCAGTCAATTAATATCCATTTATAAATGCCCGTTATGTGCTAAGTGCTGGGGATATCAAGAAAGGCAAAGACAGTCCCTGCCCTCAAGGAGCTTACAGCCTAATGGGGGAAGACTGTACATCAGAGGAAGCAGAAAAGTGAGGAAGGTCCTTGAAGATAGGGCATGTTGGAGAAATCCAAAGAGTGCAGCTGGGGATGAAATGAAAAGATGGCTTGTCTTGGCACTCTTCTTAAATGGAGGCCCTTCGAGGAGCTCTCCACTGTCTACCCTGCAAGCAGAGGGAGAGAGGGAACCCAGGAATAGAGGGTACTAAGACGATATGAGGTTCAGGACTGAAGTGATCTTGCGGGATGAAGATCCTAGGTATGTTGGAAAAATCTAGAAGAATGCAGCTAGGTAAGAATGATCAGTTAACATATCCTCAGACTTTTCATGTCTATATTGTGGTTATTTTTCTCTTTCAAATTAAAAAGTATACATATCCTGCTCATTTAATCTCTCTCTCTCTCTCTCTCTCTCTCTCTGTCTCTCCTCCCCCCCTCATTTTAATGTGTTATTATGTAAATTTGCTGCTCACAACCAGTATGGCCTTGAAGCTGTGAAGATCTGGGTTCCAGTCCCAGCTCTGATCCATACTGGCAAGTCACTTAACTTCTCAGCTTTCTAGGCAATACTCTTATACAAAGAGTGGCAGTGAATTCTCCATAACTTATGTTGGAAAAAAAAAAAAAAAGAGTTTCTTCACCTGGAAGTTCCCCAGACCAACAAAATTACGTGTCCAATTCCTATCTTTATTATGCAAAGCTGATTAAAACTCTTCAATGTGAATAAGTACCAATGATTATTCATGCATTTTTCTGCAGTGCCTGAGGATCCACCTCAGAATTTGGCGACCAGTAACATCACAGAAAACTCTTTCTCCATTTCCTGGGATCCACCAAGTATAGTAACAGGAAAATTTAGTTACAGAGTTGAACTGTATGGCCCAGCTGGTAAGCCTGAAACACTTTTATGGTCACCTTTTGGGAGGAAGGATCATGATATGAGGTGACTAGGTTTCTGTGATTTACTGTTCTAAGCATGGAATTGAAATGTAGTAAAGACACCTGAGACTTTTAAAATGTTTCATTGAAAAGAGAGTGTAGCCTTGCTGTGCAAAATGTAAGCTGTTTAATTCATCAAGTAATGAGGCAGTAGAGCTCTGAGGACATTTGTTCTTTATTGAGAACAATGGAGACTCAGGTTTCCTACAATCATTTCATCAGGTTGCTCATTTACCGTGAAACACTGCAATTCGTTTAATCTTCAGACTGCCCAGATTTTGTGGTTTTGCTTTTGAACTTTAATAAATTAAAAATAAAAAAGGACACAACTGTTGGGATTTAGTAATGTGTGGATTTTGGATTACTGGAAAGTTCAGGGCATTTGGAAATTGCTGAGTTTATCTGGTTTCCTAGACATTTGTGTCCCTTTTGTGTGTATGCTATTATATGTGGCGGCGGGTAGAGCACTGAACGTGGAGTCAAGAAAGACCCAAGTTCAAATCCTACCCCAGACATTTTCTATATCTGTGACCCTGAGCAATTCACTTAAAAAAGAATCTGGTTGCCTCAGTTTCTTAACTATAAAATAGAAATAATAGTAGCTCCTTCCTTCCAGGGTAGTTGTGTGAATATAATGAGGTAGTCTTTGTAAAGTACTTTATGAACCTTAAAGCATGCTATACATACTATTTATTTATTTATTCATTCATTTATTTGATGGCTGCTTCCTAATCTCTTACATTCACATCATCCTCTCTCCTTATATAGAAATACATTGATTAATTTTCCTCTACTAATCTCTATACTTTACCTTTCTCCTTGATTGCTTGCTTTTTTTTAACTCCTAGCCTTGTAATTCTATGTCTACAATATTCTATTTAGATTAGCTATGATAAATTCAAAATGCCAGTCCAAAAGTAAGGCTGAAAATGTGAGTAAGTAAAAGAAAACACTGAATAAAACAAAGAAATACTACAGGTTGAAAAAATTCATGAGGCAAACTCAGAAGAAGTGAGTAATCCCACAAAAATTATAAGCAAAGCATAAGAAAAATATTTTAACTACAGAAACTATAAAAGTGATGGAAAAAGCAAGACATAAAAATGAAATTATAAATAAAATTAGAATTTGGGAAGAAAAAACTGAAATGAGAATAAAAAATTTAAAATTGAAGATTGATCTCCTGAAATATAAAATGGAGCAAATAGAACTCAGTGATTCTGCGAGACATAGAAATTATTAGAATAAAATACAAATATTCACAAAAAGAAAATATGAAATATCTATTATAAAAACAATTTACCTAGTAATCAGATCAAAAATAACTAGACTCTCTCAAAACTGTGATTAAACAAACAAAAAACCTTGAGAGTATTTCAAGATTTTATAGGAGAAAACTTGTAGAGCTATTAAAGCCTGAGAGTAAAATAAAAATAGGCTCCCAAAGAAACTCCAAGTATCCAGAAATGTCAGTCAAAATCCAAAACTTCAAAGTAAAGAAAAAAATATTACAAGCAGCCAGAAAGAAAGAGTTCAAGTATCAAGAAACCACAAAGAAGATCATGCAAGACTTAATAGCAACTATAATAAAGGAAATTAGATTAGATTAGAAATTATATCAGATTAGATTACATAGAGTAAAGATAAAGGCCTTCATCTCTATATCCAAAAAATTCAGCTTAGTGAGAAGTAGCAGCAAGAGAAGACAACACCTAAATATTCCCTCCAGATATTTTTAAAATTCTATTTTATTTTATTTTCAGTTACAAATTCTCTCCCTTCTACCTTCCCCTCCTTCACTGATAAAAAAGCAAGAAAAAATAAAACCCATTGCAAATATGCGTCCTCAACCAAAACAAATTCTTACACTAGCCATCTGATGTTTTTTATAGCTGCTCCTAGTTTCAGAGGATTTCTTTCAACTAGATTAACCAACTTTATTGACAGCTAATTAAAATCTAGCATGAATGTTCAGAAATATAGTATAATTTTTAATATTTGATTTACATGTAATAGAAAGGAGATTATTATATATTTAAATAGTGCTTATACATACTTTTCACCACTCAAGTGGTTATATCCAATAAAAGAGACAATTTATAGAAAGAAAAGACAATGGTAGCATTATATTTTTTCCTTCCTTTGGTTGATTGTTTCTTACTGAAAAACAAAATAAGAAAACTAGAACCCTAGTCCAGAACTTGTAAGCACTGAACATTTTAATTTCAAAAATATGCAGCCACAATATAATTTGAGACTTTTAATGTTGCTAATCATCAGTAGAAGTTTTCGTATAAAACAGAACTGTTATAATTGTAAACTAGGGCAGAGTATTGATCACATTCCATTGCTTTAAATTGATGACATAATATTTAAAAACTAATTAGGTATAATTATCTATTATACTTTGGTAGATTGCAAAACCCATATATATGTATTTGATTAATAGAACATGAATTGTTATTTTTATCATTCAATTTTAATGTAGCATTCAATGTCATAATGACCTTGTGCTTCATAAGAATGACTTAGATAAGCTTGTAATATGTATCTTCTCCTTTTTTAGGTCATATTTTGGATAATAGCACAAAGGACCTTAAGTTCACATTTACTAACTTGACACCATTTACAACATATAATGCATATATTGGTGCTGAGACCAATGCAGGAATTGGACCCAAGTCAAATCTTTCCATTTTTACTCCTCCAGATGGTAAGAACAATGCTAAAATATGAAAAATGAGATTTTTAAAAAATGATATGTAAAAATTTTGGGATGTTGAGTAAAATAAGAAATGTACAGTTAAACATTATATATTGGAGCATAAAGCACAGCAGTGATGTCCAAGTCAAATGGAAATGGCTCCCTGTAGGCAGCATATTGGCTTAGAAAATCACAATTTAACATTATCTATATTTTATTATAGTTTTATTTATTTTCAAAAATATTTACCAATTATATCTTCATCTAGTTCAGGCTGTCCATGGGAGTTTTGCAGCTGAAGTAGTTTTTTTTTGACACCTCTGGCAGGGCTTCTTAAACTTTTTCTACTCGTGACCCCATCTGTAAAATATATCTCATTTACCAATTTAATAGAGTCAGTATGGCATAGTGCATGAAACTACCTGGTCCTGGAGTCAGTAACTATATGATCACCAGCAAGGTAGTCAGCTTTTTAGAGCCTCAGTTTCTTCATCTGTAAAAGGGAGTAATAGCATTTGTACTGCCTGAGATAACTACGGTGAGAAAAAGTGCTTTAAAAATCTTAAATTACTGAAGAAATGGACTTTCTTCTAATGAGATAATTATCCAAATGCTAAAAATGTTTGCAAATTGAATATTTTTGTTAAGCCTCTAAATATTGTACAATTATACCGTAGTAAACCTCTCAGCATTTCAGTAGCCCCAGGCAACTTTACAGTGCTATTAGTTGCAGTGAAGGTTTGGGTCTTCATTAGTGGAAGGAGTTTCCTCACTAAAGCATTCCCTATATCCTGAGATCATAAATCCAGACCAGAACTCACACACTCACACACACACACACACACACACACACACACACAATCAGTCACTTTTTTTTAAACAGGGAAGGATAGAGTGTTTAATGAATCAATGTATAACATAACGATAGAAGATTTTTTCATGTACATATTTGTATAATGCAAAAAGCTTACTACTAACATGGTTTATGTTACAAAAACAAAAATTAGCACTGTCAGAAAATAAATTAATATTTCTTCTAAAAGGGGGAATGTTACCTGTGTAGATCGCATGTCAAATAGCTGTTTAAAAAATAGTTGGGCAACAACATATATGTCGTACATTTAACAACTCATATAAGAAGTCACATATTCATATAATTAAGGAGGTAAATTAAATTCCATTCCCTTCTTCACTTCTGAGACTTACTGACATTCTTACATACATGCTAAAGTGTTGAACTGAAGCTCTTTTCTTCTGGGGGATGCTCCTGTGAGTTGCATTTCTATTTGTTGTTGTTGTTCAGTCATTTCAGTCATTTCAGTCTCTTGGTGACCCCTTTGAAAAAGCCACTAGCATGGTTTTCCATTTCCTTCTAGAGCTCATGTTACAGATGAGGAAACTGAGGCGAACAAGGTTAAGTGACTTGCCCAGGTTCACACACCTCATAAGTGTCTGAGGTTTCTATTTGAGGTGGTGGTAATTGGAGGGCAAGATCTAGATTCAAAGGACCTGGATTTGATCCTGGCTTTGCTATTTACTATTTGTGTGACCTCGGGCAAGTCCTTTATCTGCTTGGGTATCAGTGTCCTCATACGTTAAATGAAGAGTTAGATGAAGTGACCTCTAGGGTCCCTTCAGGATTTAATCCTACTGAAGAGCCTTTGTTTCTCTCTAGGAATTTTAATATTTCAGGAAAGTTTTTCACTGTACAAATTACTTGATTCCAGAAGCTTTAAAATACTACACAATTGCTAACATATACTAAAATAAGAAAGAAAGGATTATTTTCTTTTGGTGGGAGGACAGAAATTGACATATAGAAATTCAATTAGATGAAAATTTTAAGTATTCGACCATTAGATGGCAGCAAATATTTGGGAGTAGAGGGCATTTTTTTTCTCAATGAAGAATGTATCTATCATCTATCTATCTATCTATCTATCTATCTATCTATCTATCTATCTATCTATCTATCTGTCTGTCTATCCACATGTGTTCATGTATATATATATATGTATGTATGTAATTTATAAGAACTTTAAAAATCTTTCCCCCCCTTTCAACAAGAGAGTATTTTAAAGTACACTTAATACATTGGTGAAAGAAGAGATCTGTGCTTTGAAGTCAATCAGCTAGCATTTTTTATGAATCAACTAGCATTTATTAAGTGCCTACTTTGTGCCAGACACTATGCTAAGCATTAGGTATGCAAAGAAACACACACACAAAAATATCTGTCCCTACTCTCAAGGAAATCACAGTCTAATGAAAGTGATATAAACAACTACGTAAACCTTATAGTTTCAGAGAAATAGGAACTAATTCTTTAGTTTTGTTTTTATTTATTTGAAAGTGATGCTGTGACCAAAAAGGGTGTGAGTTTGGAAGGTGGGCTCATTTTTCTGTTTGTTAAGGATTTTGTCTAATACATACACATTTTGAGTCTCATCCACTTCTCACTTCATACATTTATTTGCAAGATGACTAAGATGCTGAACAGGGCAGTATATGACCAGTAAAGAGTAAAGGTAACTTTCACACCCAAGAAATGAAATCACCATCTAAATACCATTAGCATTATTTTATCAGAGATTATTAGCCATTGAACATTTTTGAATAAATCAATTTTTGAAAGAAATAATGATACCTTTACTATGGTGCCTCATGCCAAGGAGAGACTATCATATTTTGACTTGAATATGTTGTCACAACTTAATGGATCTTCTTAAGAGGAGAGTCAGATTTTAATATTTTAGTACTTGATCAAGACAGATAAACTGGCCATGCTGCAATGACATAGAATTCATTCAGTGAGAGAGGGTTGGATTTGGAGTCAGACACAGCTAGGTGGCTCAGTGGATAGAGTGCCAGCCCTGGAGTCAGGAAGATTTCAGTTCAAATCTGGCCTCTGACAATTACTAGCTATGTGAACCTGGGCAAGTCACGTAACTCTGCCTCAATTTCCTCTTCTGGAAAATAAACTGGAAAAGGAAATGGCAAATCACTCTAGTATCTTTACGAAGAAAACCCTAAATGGGGTCATGAAGAGTAGGACATGACTGAAAAATGACTGAACAATAAAAACCCCAGCCTCATATCCAGACTAATATTTTCTGTGTTATTTGAAGCAAGTCAATTAATTTCTCTGGACCCTTATCTGAAAAAAAAATGAGATGGTTGAACTATACTATCTCTAAGGTCCCATCCAAATGTAATTTGATTTATCCCATGAGTAAAGTATCTTTCCCAGTTGTTTTTCATTTGTGCCATTTCTTGGAGTCAAGAACACTTGGGTTCACATACTACCTTTGACATTTAGTGAATAGTGAATAGGCATTTATATAGTGCCTTACTATGTGCCAGGAACTGAGCTAAGCACTTTACAAATATCTCATTTGATTCTCACAAGCACTTTTGGAGATGAATACTGTTACCATCACCATTTTACAGCGAAGGAACCTGAGGTGGACAGAGTTTAAATGACTTACTCAGGGGTGTCTGAGGTTGGATTTGAACTTGTCTTCCTGACTCCAGGTCCAGCACTGCAACCCCCCAGATACTTGTGCTGCCTGGCTGCCTACATGATACTAACTAAGTGAGTGACCCTGGGGCATGTTACCTAAACTTCTCTGGGCCTCAGTTTCTTCATCTGTAAAATGAGACAGATTTGATATCTTCTGAGATGCCTTCCAGCTCTGAATCTAGAATCAAATGAGCCTATCATCTATCCTTTGTTCATTCCTCCCAGCCTTCACTGCCATTTTCTTTTAATAGAGGAAAAACTAAGTTGAATTTTAAGAACATTTTGCTCAACCCTCTTATATGTACTTTTTGTATCACAATATATATATTTTTTATTGTATATAACTTTTCATAAATGAACAGATCTATTGAGTGTTTTAGGAAAATGTTGGAACTATAGAATCAACTGTTTTCAGTACTTTAAATGTGCCTATTTATGTGTCAAAATTGATAAGTTAATTATAGCTAATTCTTAAGGCAGCCCAGACTGCCTTCTTCCTTTGCACTTTGCAATTGTACTTCATTTTCAGCCATCCTCAAAAATAATAAAATTTTAGTCCTTTTAAAACACTCTATAATTCTATATTATTACCAATAGTCTAGGCTATACTACTCTGCTATTTTATCTTTAGAAGGAGTGGGAGACATCATGATTTAGTAGAAAAAGAAATGAACTTGTATTTAGGAAATCCAAACTCAAATCTCAGCTCTGCCACTTACTCTCTGTGTGACTTCAGAAAAGTCTTTTAACTTTTCTGGGTCTCAATTTCCCCAAGTGTAAAATAAGTGGATTAGACTAGATGACCTCAAAAGTTCCTTCAAGCCTTAACTCTATGATGCTTAACTCTCCAGTTCCTTAATATATGTTGTTTAGTCATTTTCAGTCATGTCTGACTCTTTATGACCCCTTTTGGGGTTTTCTTGGCAAAGATACAAGAGTAGTTTGCCATTTCCTTTTCCTAGATCATTTTACAGATAAGGAAACTGAGGTGAACAGGGTTAGTGACTTGCTCAGGGTGACCCAGTTAGTAAGTTTCTGAGGCTAGATTTGAACTCAGGTCTTCCTGATTCCAGGTCTGGCATGCTATCCATTGCACCACCTAGCTGCCTCTCCCCCATACTCTTTGCTGTTGTTTAGTTATTTTCAGTCATGTCTGACTCTTCATGACACCTTTTGGCCTTTTCTCAGCAAAAATAATTGAGTAGTTTGCCATTTCCTTCAGCTCCTTATACATGGTAGGTATTTAATGAAAGTTTCTTGAATTTTATCCAAAATTGGTAAGGTTTCATAATGATTCCAATGCATCTGAATAACCAAATCCAAGTATATTTTATAAGAATATTTTTGAGATGAATCAGACCTTTGTAGAGAATGAGGGGGGATTGGATTTTAGAGAACAGTTATAGTAGTATCTATAGGTGATTGTCACAAAAAACCCCAATATTTTCTTTATATCATACTTAGGAAATTTCTACTTTCTTTAGTA